GACTGGCTTGGCATGTATGTTGCTGGAAGGCTTCGAAGGCTGTTTTTCACGGCCGACCCTACAATTGTATCCCCCATCTCGCTTGAAGAAGGCTCATTGGCCACTGCCATTTGGTACTGGGAGTAGTTGTACAGGTTGTTATAGTAAGGATACAGGGACGGCTGGTAAAAACTGCTGTAGTAGGTGGAGTCCACAACCAGATCAGACGTGCTCTCCAAGTGCCCTCTGCTGGGGATGGAAGGGATGTCCTGAATGAGCATCCGCCCCTCTGGAAAAGAGAAAAAAAGCCATTGTGAAACAAGAAGCTCCATGAAGACCACTACCTTTCACCTTCTGATGAGCTACTACATCTCCTGAAGGCTGGACTGAAAGTAATAAGTAGGAAAAGATGGGAGCTGAAAGGGAAACACGGCTGAAGGTTTGGTGGAAACAAGCAGACAGATGTTCACTCGAAGCTCAAGACCACCTACAGACACTGCAGACTGCAAAACAGGAGACAAAAACATCTGCAGGTTAAGACAGTGCTCCCTCTGCACAGGCAGCATCAGTTGATCTGGTGATGATTTTAAGGATGCAGCCTGCTATTATTTGTAAAATGTAACAGTGCGCGAAGTTTCTCATAGCCCCTTGGAAGCAGAAAGGCTTTAGCTACAGGATGACACCATTGACCTGCAGGTGAGAGGACACTTTTTCTGAACATGCCTCTTGAATGGCCAAACAGCCATAAGGTCCAGAGGAAGCTGCAACAGGGAGTGTTCCCTGGCTGAGCCAGACACAGCAAAAAACTGCCACAACCTTAGAAAGTCTAAGCATGCAGTGAATGCACATCTACATACTGAACAAGGGAGCAACTGTAAACCCCACCATTGATGCAGCCCTGGATCCAGCTTGCGCCCCTTCTGATACACCCCAGGATGCCATTGGCCTTCTTGGCCAGAAGGGCACATTGCTGGCTCATGGTCATCCTGCTGTCCACCAACACCTCCAGGTCCTTTTCTGCCTGGCAGCTTTCCAGCCACTCGTCCCCAAGCCTGTAGCGCTGCATGGGGTTATTGTGACTGAAGTGCAGGACCCGGCACTTGGCCTTGTTGAACCTCATGCAGTTGGCCTCAGCCCATTGATTCAGATCCAACGATGGGTTTTACCAGTTATTGCTATTTACAGTGCAATTCTGTTCCACTTCTTCAGCTGTAATGAAAGCTCTCCGCAATTATGGTTAACCTCCTTCCAGGTCACTAGATTATACATTTTGTCGAGATCAATGAACTACGCATGTTTAATAGCAAACGGGGCGTTTCATGCCTCCTGCATCTGATTTTTCTGCCCCTCAGCCTTATGCAAGTGAAAGCCTATCCAGCTGGCCTTTCTCACTGGGAACACCTCTCAAATTTGCACACAGAACAGAGGAGTCAGCGATGCCACAAAAGACCCTTCACAGATTTTGAGCTTTCATGTTTTAATGGAATTTTAATACTGCTATTGCTCTGCTTCTGGGCAGGTCTCTCTTCAAAGTTCTTTAGTCTGTGTCTTTGACAAAATCTGGGACGCAGATTTCACATGACACAGAGATACGTGAGGCAGCCAGCTACTTCTGTCAGGGTGATGCTATGCCACACAGATGTGCAACTTCTTCTGAAACCTCTGCAGTGTCTTTCCACTCGCAGTGCATCATAAGAAGGGATAATACTTTCCACTAAGAATACTAGCACCAAGAAGAGAGAGTCTCCTTACAACCACACAGGAAAGGAGAGCCACCCTGAGATGTCAGCAACTAAAATGAAGGAGGGGAGAAAGCAGATTTTGCTGCAACTTTTGGAAATGTCTTGTGCACTACGCTTCCTAACATGTGATGGGCTAGACTAGAACAGTGACCTGCCAGCAGTCACCCCCAAAATCATACAAGCATCTTTGATGTCTCTGTTACATTCACTCAGGTGGCTGGTAGTGCTACAGCTCATTTCTGAATAAAGAGCAGCAGTGGCAGTCTTCTGCTGCATTAACTGGGAGAAAAAAATACACTTTTTTACCACTTCTCTCTTTCTGTCTCCTATCTGTCATTGGGGCTACCATCATTTGCCAGCGGAGGTGTAGAAGGGTTGACTTGCTGCCACCCATTTTCCTTTATCTGGCTGCACAACAGCTGCCAGTGGTTCAGTGCTCAGGGCTGTTACGGATCAACCAGAATAGTCCTCTGCTTTCCTTCTGCTGTCCCTCCGCACTCCAATAGCCTCTACAGTATTATCAGCTACCCTCTTAAGACTCAATATAGAGCCAATCATCCACTTACTCATCCCCCCATGTGCCCACACACATAAAATCCCCAGATGCCAACAACCCTTCTGAGCTGCAGCCACATCACAGGGATGTGCCCCAGCGGATCAGCAGAAAAAGGAGGAGCCACGGGAGAGAGGACAGTTGGACTGAAGAGACAGACACACCCAACTCAGTATAGAACTAGAACTCTTGTGATGGTGCTGGAATGACGGCCCATAGAGTTTAATTTTCCCTAAATCTCAAGCTACACCATGCTCCTGAAGATGGAAGGACTGGCAACATACGGCAAAGACCAGGATAAAGCTGCCACGTGCTTCAGCTCATGCTTTCCC